CGACTGGGCAGGGGTGGAGAGCGAGGGCGAGGAGAAGGAGGGGGAAGATGCAGAGGAAGAGGAGATGGACGTGGATGCTGGCAAGAAGCTGCCCAAGCGCTATGCCAATCAGGTGAGGACCTGCGTGCCTCTGCCTGCCTCCCTGTGATGGGGCGAGGGTGGGAACGCAGGGTCAGGCAGAGTGAGGGATGTGGGGTGGTTGGGGCTGGGCGTGCTGAGCAGCCGTGGTGATGGCTGCGTCAGGGCTGAGAACAAACTGTCCTGCCTGGCTTGGTGCTCAGGGAGGAACCATGCCTCAGCTCTGCCCCTGAGACGTGCCGCCTTCAAATGGAGTACAGGCAGAGATGGGCTGCCTGTGTGTTTTGGGAGGTTTCAGCTCAGCTGGCAGTGTTTGTATCCTGTTCTGCAGCGGTCAGTTAAAGACTTCCATCTCTCCCCGTGTCTGGGATACCGGGAAGGAAGGGGAAACCTCAGCCGATGGGCTTTATCGGCCTCAGTGCCATATTGGTCCTAAAAGACGTACAGCCTTTCAGGTGATCACAGCCAGACAGTCTCTCAAGAGGTCAACTTGTCTGGGCTCTTTATTATTCCTAGTACTTAGGAATCTCTAAGCTGTTTCATGTATTTATAAATAAAAAAAATTAAAGTTCTGGAGTGAGGACCAAGGTGTCCAAGCAAGGACTGTGAGCCCCGTGCTGTAGTCTGAAGTTCAGTCAGCAGCTGGGAAGCAGGAGAAGGACCTGGGGGAGAGTCTGTTATGCAGGTTGGTTGGAGAGAGGGAGGGAGCTCCTTTGGTGCTGTAATGCAGGGTGACGAGCAATGCAAGTTGCCCCTGAAGCACCCAGTGCAGCTGTAGAAACCCAGTCGAGCCCTTCTGGCTGTGAGTTTTCCGTAACTTCAGGAGAGTTGTTGCTAACTGCTTTTTTTTTTTTCTTTTCCCTGGATTTCTTGGTAGCTGATGCTGTCTGAATGGCTGGTCGATGTCCCCTTGGATCTGGAGCAGGAGTGGATTGTAGTGGTGTGTCCCGTCGGGAAAAGGGCACTAGTCGTGGCGTCCAGGGTAAGCGGTATAGGACCTGTATCTGTTTCCCAACCGACGGGAGACTGGCCCGTGTGCCTTGCTTGACTTTCCTTTTCCTTCCCGTTTCCTCGCAGGGCTCAACAGCGGCTTACACCAAGAGCGGCTTCTGTGTCAACAGGTTCCCATCCCTGCTGCCGGGCGGGAACCGGCACAATTCAACCAGCGAGAAAGGTAACGGCGTGAGGAGGCGTTCGGGACAGAGAGAAAGGAACCCCCTCCTGGAGGGGGGAACCTCCTCCTTCAGGCCTGTTTGTGTGTCTCTGGGGATAACTACACGTGGGCAATCTACCGTTATGCTAGATAAGAATGTTTCTTAATTAGCTGCCTGGTTAACTGACACCCTTAAACCTCAATGTCTTCTGACAGAGAGCAGCTTACGGTGTGGTCTTTCTTAATACCTCTTGCAGTTGCTTTCTTGCCCTGAGGAGGGGTTACTGCTTGATAAATGCCATTTTCTGAAACGTGCCTCTGCTTGCTGTGCCTCTGGCTCGTACCTTTGTAGCCTTGTTGGACTCCTCAGGCTAAAGGCTTTCTGTGGTGGCAGCTTCTGGAATGTCTTCTGACAGAGAGCAGCTTACGGTGTGGTCTTTCTTAATACCTCTTGCAGTTGCTTTCTTGCCCTGAGGAGGGGTTACTGCTTGATAAATGCCATTTTCTGAAACGTGCCTCTGCTTGCTGTGCCTCTGGCTCGTACCTTTGTAGCCTTGTTGGACTCCTCAGGCTAAAGGCTTTCTGTGGTGGCAGCTTCTGGTAGCAGCAGGGGATCTCTTGGCCTTACATCAGGCCAGGCTTAATGCAGGAGAGGTTTGATCTGGCGATTACTTGTTGGGTTGGGCAGTCTCTGGAGCACGTCCGGACCTCCCTGTGTTTGTGTGCGCAGTGTACTGCATCTTAGACTGCATCTACAATGAGGCGAAGCAGACGTACTATATCCTGGATGTGATGTGCTGGAGAGGACACCCCGTTTATGACTGCCAGGTACTGAATCTGCCCGCTCTGCCCTGCCATTCCTTTTGGAATAATTGGGGACCGGGGTGGGGAATAGCAGAGTTTGGGGTTTTGGCTGGTTCTGTAGGTGAAACTGGGTTTGTAAATCTCCTCGGCGAGTGCAGAGGAATGGAGATGCTGGGCAGGTTCTGACAGTCATTAAGTCTCTACCTCCTTTCACAGACCGACTTCAGATTCTTCTGGCTTTTTTCAAAGATCCAAGAGGAGGAAGGGCTGGGAGAGAAAAGCAGGATTAATCCAGTAAGTTCTTTTGTACTGGGAGGAGAAGGAGGATGGGGGGGTAAGCTCTCTTGTTCAGTAGGCTTCTGCACTTTCTTTCACAAGTGGAAGCTTTTGTCTGTCTTTTTTTTTTTTTCCTTCCCTCACAGATCAGGCTTCAAAGGGTACTTCTGATGAAATGGGATGCCATGTTCAGGATGTAAATAGAACCACTGAGTATTGTAAATGAGTGTGGGTTTGGTGGGGGTTTTTTGTGGGTTTTTTTTCCCCAGCCAAAGTGCTGAGGGAGATCAGGCTGCAGAGTATCAGCTAACTTCCGTGCCCTTTTCAGCTTTCCCTTGAAAGGGAATGGAAAACCAGTGTGGTTTCTACAGGGGCAGTGTTGGTCGGCAGTCTGACTAAAATGGGAATTATTCTTGCGTAGTCTGGGCTTGCAAGGCAAGGGGAAAGGCTTGTAAAGCTTTAGCCTTCCCTCCTGCTTGAACTAGTCAGGGAAGTTGCCGTGATGGATGCCGGATTGCCACCCAGAGTCCCTGCTGAGCAAGGATAAAAAGTCTTCCTTTGAAGACTTGCACGTGGAGGTCAGACCTAGAACACACAGCAGTTGGACAGTGATTTTTTTGGGGGACAGACGTACGAGATTTGGCAGCCTGGCTCGTGGGGCACAGTTTGCAAAGCGGGACCTGATGGCTGTGCGGCCCCCGTGCGTGCTCAGACGCAGCTAAGCAGGGCAGCTCCTGTGGGTTGAGCAGATCGCTCATAAACGGGGATGAGCGCTCCTCTGCCAGCACCGAAGCGATCTGTATTTGAAGAACAACCCGTTCTGACTCCAGTGGGAATAGCCAGAAGACGGCTACCTAACGGAGGGGAGGGGGGATCGTTTCAGCTTTCATTTCCTGGGTGGAAAGATTTACTCAGCTGAGCCAGCAGCTTGGAGCAGACATCTGTCTGCTTTGCATCCTGCCCAGAGGTCATCGTTTTCTATTTTGGTTTAAAGAGCGTCTCGGGATCAGCTCTCCTGAAAAAGCCTTCCTGCAGTCTTAGATGTTTGGGAAAAAGGTATCGGGAGCGTGTGGGAGCTGTGCGCTGACTCTCTGCTGTCCACGTCTCTTATTAAATGCCAGAGAGGGGTTCGTTGGGAACTGGGATGATAAAATACCTGGAACAGATCATTCTGGGCGCTCTAGATTTCATGGCATCCAGGCATTGTGGTGGCAATCCATGGGTGGTCTTTTAAAGGTCACCGATGGACAGCTTGGTCCTGCCCTTTTGGTCTCTAGACCTGGGGGTTGCGTATCAATTGCTGTTCCGAGGTCTGTCCGTCCCAATAACCTGTAGTAATCACAGAGACTAATTGCTATGGAACGAGTAAGAAATCGGAGATACCTGTCACGTCCCCTCTGACTTCATCAGCCAGTGGTTGTGCCTAGATCATGGAGTTAATGGCCTTTGAGGAGTTGGTCTAATCCTCTTTGTGCTTTTGGGACCCTGATACCCCATGGCAGGAAGGACGGCAGTTTAATGATGTGGTCCCTGCTTGAGATCTCCTTTCTGGTTACTTATCCGATGCCTGTCCCTCACCCTTTCCCTCCCAGGCTGGATTTTGCACTGGGGGGAATCTTTCCTCCGCACCAGCGCGCGATTCAGTGACTCGTTCTGCTTTAGGCCATGCAGTTGTCTCTTCTAACCTTCTCTTACTCTTTCAGTTCAAATTTGTGGGCCTGCAGAACTTCCCCTGCACCCCGGACAGCCTGTGTAAGGTGCTGGCTATGGACTTCCCCTATCGCAGCTGAAAAAAGCGCGGGGGGGGGGGGGGGCCGGACCTTCAGCCTTAAAAACAGCCCCGCAGCGCGTGTGCCAGCGCTCGGAGAGAGGTGCATCCCCCTCACTGGGGAACTGTGCTCTCCCGAGGCCCGCGGGAAGCTTGCTGGGCTGTGCCGGCGTTGCCCTGTGCGGGGGACGGATGTCTGTCACGCTGCCACGTGGCAACTGACTTTTTTAGGGCCAGAGCTGGTACTGCCCGCCGCCCCGGGTGGGCTTGCGTGGGTACAGGCACGAGGATCTCTGCGGTGTGCTCCTTTACGTGGTGGTGTTTCTCGAGAGGTCTGCGGGGTGGGCAGAGCGGTGTCTTTCTCTGACCTCTGTCACAGGCTCTGTGTTTCCTTAGTCTAGCTACTTCCACCTGCAGCTACCCTGCGTCTTGTGGGGAGGAAAGAGAAGGGCGGTGGTAAGCTCCCGAGGGTTTCCGAGGCGTTTGGGTGTTGGTGATGGGCGCCTGAGACGTACCGGAGCTGGGGGGCAGACGGCTGCAATGGAAATGTTAGAGTCTTGGGGAGGGGATAGTGCGAGCTCTGCTTTGTGCTTTGGTACAGAACCGGCAGCTTCCTGCCTTTGGCTCCTGCTGCTCCTGGCTCGCTCTGAGGTGACCATGCCCCCAGCAAGAGTGGCCGAACAGGACACCTGCATTTGCTTCATCAGCTTTGGAAGTAGGTGCTGTTGTGCTGTTGGGGCCTCTCTGCTGAGCTGTGGGAGCAGGGCGCTGGCGTGCCACCCAGTTCAGCTCTGCGTGGTTGTGAGCAGCAAGCCGGATGCCCTGGTGAAACGGCTCGAGCTGCTTTTGGTAGCTATCCTGGCTGACTTGGCACTGAAGAGGATGGAGGAGGTGATGGCACAGCGTCGGCGACAAACATCTGGGAGCCAGAAGCTCCTCCGGTGGCTGCAGCAGTTCCTGCGGCGTGCCCAGCCTCAGCCCTGGATCGGGAACGGCCTCTCCAGAGGTTGCTTGTCCCGCTAAGCCAACAGCCGCGTTGATTTAACTGTGCCTCTTGTGCTCTCTCGGCCCGAGTTAGCGATTAACGTAAGTGCGGGTTTAAATTTAAGGGACGCTAATTTGGCTGCGAGGGCTGACTTTGCCTTCTGCTTGTGAAAGCCAGGACAGTCGTGAGAGAGAGAGTCGGAAAGTCCCAGCTCCTTCCTGGTCTTGCCAGCCCCGGCTCAGAACGCGGGTCGGGGAACGTTGAGAAGGCATCCCAGGTTTCCTACAGCTGACGTGCTCAATGACACGTGCTCTGAGCGCCTCTGTAGAAACAGTCGTTCCTGTCTTTGCTGAAGAAAGCTTCATTCCTTCCTGAGGCCGTCTGCTCCCGCGAGAAAAGGCTGAGGAGTATTGCCCCACCGCGGTCAGAACAGAAACGTTTCGGCCTGCGAAGGAGACCGTTGCGAAACACTGGGGGAGGGAGATGGAGTCGGTGAGGCTCTTCCTTGTAATCCGGCTGTGTTTTGCTCCCCCAGGTTCTCTGGTTGGTACGTCGGTACAAGTGAAACATGGTGTAATTTGGCTCGAAGCAGCCAGAAACCCCACCAGAAACCGTGGTGCCGCTTCCAGGAGCAAAGGGAGCCGTGGGCCTCTTTGATGTGCCACAAGAGGGAGCCCAAGAAATCCCCGCAAAGAGTTTCCACCAGCAGCACGTAACAAAATAAACTTTGCAGAAGGCAAAATAAAGCCTTGCTGTAGATCGTGCAGTATAATAGGGGTCGTCTTAGGCCTGGGCCTAAGATCAACTTGTGATCCTTACAAGGATCTCGTGCAGGTGGTGGCAACAGAGGTGGTCAGTGCTTTCGGATCTGGGTCTGCAGAGTTAATCTGTAACCTTAGAGTTAGGACCTGATCCGCTGTATTCAGTGGAAGTTTTTTTCCGCTGAATTCCGTGGACTTTGGATCAGTTGACTGGCACTGAATTGGAAGTGTGGTTTTTGGAGTGGATCTGAAGAGCTACTGTCCTACTCGCAGATCCGAATAAAACAATGTTCAGGTCTCCGCGAAGGCAGGGGGAGCCAGAGGCTCTGAGAAACCCCGGCGTGAAGGAGCGGCCGTACCGCTTAGCACCTAAAATCTGAGAAGCGTGGCCGTGAAGCCCTGCCAGGCCCGTTTCTCCTCAGGTTCGGTCATTTAGGGGCAGTGTCGGCCCTTATTCTGCTGTGGCTAGTGTCAGCACGGTGACTCAGGACAGGGGCCCGGCCAACAAATTAAACTGGAAGGAACATGGGAGTAACTTAAGAGAAATCAGGGGAAGGAAGAACGTGACCTAACTCTGCACCAGGCTGAACTCCTTGGAATTCTCCAGCTTGGGGAAGGTCTTTGGAGTGGGCTGGAAGGCAGAAGCCTTTCCAGGCTCTCTGGTCTTCGCCAAAAGATTCCTGTGGGTGCCGGAGAATCCCCGTTGCTCACCAAGGGCCGCGCACCCGCAGGAATGGGCTGGATGTGCAGGCGTGGTGCCGGGGTGTCGCAGAATCTGTCTCTTCCCAAGTCTTCCCGGGAGGCAGGGGGAGGGAGAAGCTTTGTACTTTAGATACCCAGAGGGTTACACAAGCTCATCGTGATGTTTACTGTTCTGGTTTTATGTTTTCCTAGCACAGGAATCCCCCCTTTTCTGGGATTACTTTGCAAGATCTTAACAGTGACTGAAAATTATGGACAGAGTAGTGCAAGAAGCTCTCCCTGCCCTGCTGAAGGTTAGCCTTCACGGAGCAGACCCAGATGTACGCTGCTCTTTGCTCAGCCTGGCTCACAGTCCAGCATGGTAGCAGATATCACCTCAACCTGCTTGGCTCACCCATGCCTCAGCTCACCGTATAGGTGCTGTTCTGCCATATATATTCTGGGGGCTATAGGCTCGGGGAGGGATTTGGGAGCAATTCAGTCCTAGGTGGGCTCTTTTCCTCGTCTCTTTTGCCCGCTCAGCCACCCTTACTTTTTTAGCCTTTTAAGAGCTCGTGAGGCTGAGCTAAGAGGAGCACCACTTCCAGCGGTAGTCTGCCTGGCAGCAGGATGTAACCCTGCAGAGCGCACCCCTGGGAAGCGCAGGAAGAGGCGGGGGGGCGGCGGTGAAAATCCCTTAGCGTGGCGGGGAAGCGGGGAAAACGTCAGCCAGCTGCAGTATTGCCGAGTGTGGAAATAGCAGCACAAGAGTTAGGGCCTAAACCTTCAAAGTCCTGAGTGCCCTTAACTGTCATTGATTGCTGGAGAAGTTCTCTCTTGGGAAACATGAAGAATTTATTTTGCATAAGCCAGCTGAAAGAGCCGTAGCAGCGTTACGAATCAGGGCTCCTTGGCGTCATGCGCTCTGACTAATTACTCTCTAAATGTATTATTTAAAATAACCTTAATCCAGTAAAGTGGCCTTTCTGCGCGCTGCCTTATTCAGAAAGCCGACGGCTTTTCTGCAGAATGGCATCATAGCAACCAGAGGAAAAGTTCTGTGCCGACATCAGGCTGAAATTGTTTGCCTTTGATGATGTAAAGCTGTCCGGCAGTCGCTGAGCTTCCGCTCATCTTTCAGGGCAGGACCTCTGCAGGTTTCTTCTTTCCCTTCCGCTATTTATTGCACTGCTCGAGGGGAAAAATGATCCAGCTGGTAGTTTTGGCCTGTAAATGGAGAGCGGTGCTGTCGTCTGGCGCTCTGTCATCCACCTGCAAAAGCCTCCAGCTCTGGCCTTTCATTCATTCTCCTGTTTTTTTTTGGTTTGTTTGGTTTTTTTTTTTTTATTAACAGGTTGATGGCCTTCTCTTTTATCACAAGCAAACCCACTATACTCCCGGCAGCACCCCACTGGTGGGCTGGCTCCGACCCTACATGGTACCCGAAATCCTTGGGCTCGCCGTGCCCGTTAACGCGCTCACTGCCAAACCGGACTATGCCGGGCGTCAGCTCCAGCAGATTATTGAGAGCAAGAAGAGTAAAAAACTGGCAGCGGAAAAGGGTCACTCGAGCAACGCGGCGGCTGCGAGGAACGGACATTACGAGCTGGAACACTTGTCTACCCCTCAGCCAGCAAACTCTCCGGAGGGCCGGGAGGAAGCAGGGAGCCAGATGGAGGATTAGGCTGCTGGGACAGACCGGTTGGTAAGGAGAAAGCGAAAGGTTCCCCGCTTCTCACTGTCCCTCACGCTCCCCGAGAGGGGGGCAAAGGTAACGATAGGAAGGTTCTCTTTAAAGGGCACGAAAGTGGAGTATCTTGCTCCAAGTGCGGCTGGATTTTTTTTTTTTTCTTTTTTCTTTTTTGCCAGGGCTTCTGTGAGGCCTGAACAGACTTGTCTGGTTCTTTGCTAAGGCAGTCGTGCGCTGGGAAACAAAATGATCCGTCCCCACGCTGCAGGGTTCCCCGGTTCAGCTCCTGACCCTGCTTCTGTTAAAGCCTCTGGCAAAGCTCCAGCGTAGGAACAGCGCTCAGACCTCCGAGGTGCAGCTGCTGCTCGCAACCCCAGCCCCGGCCCCGGAAATCGGGGCAGTTCAGCCTTTGATCCAGCTGTTTACCGAAGCCTTCTCAATGAAAGTTTTGTGGTCAGTCCGTTTCTAGTAACAAAAAGTTTGCAGCAGGCTGCTGTAAATCCAAAAGCTGTGCTTTCCACACCCACGCGTTACCGAGAAAAACTAAATTTCCCTGTGTCGCGCAGCTTCGTGCAGCGCGAGTGGGGCAGAAGCCTGTACTCGAGGCTTTTCTCAGTAGGGGGAGGAAGGAATGGTTTCGCTCTGAAAAACGCTAGCATTGATTGTGCCAAATAAAAGGTTTCTCAGAAAGACAAATTCTTGAGCGTCTTCCTGCTACCTAAGGGTGGATGCGTGCTGTGCCTCCCAAATAGGGATTGAAAAATCGGTTACAACGCTAACTGGAGCGGAGGAAATGCTTGTGTGGGTTTGATTCTCCTCCGCGGGCCGAGCTGCTTCGGTCCCTCCCTGCCGCTTCCCCTCTTATCCCAGCCCGAACCCGCTTTGCGAGCACCGGCTGCTGCCTCTTCCCCGGTTGTAGCGGGGATGAAACGATTGTACTTGCCGATGGGGAGTTTCCTCCTGACTGTCTATGAAAATGCCCCCGGAGGAGGGCTCGTATCCAGGAGGAGTTACCGAAAATGGGGATGGCTGCCCGCAGATAGCGGGGGCACTTGTATCCTGCCCTCGCACCACCCCCCCCCTGCATTTTTCCCAGAAAAACGCTTGTTTCCGTGCCAAGCGTGTGGGCTGCGTGCGATCATCTGCCTCTGCAGCCGCTATTGATTATATCAGCGGGCAGCAGGAACTGCCCTAACTGCGGCCAGAGCTGGCTGCGGGAGGGGAGAAAACAGCACCCCAGCTCCGCAGCGTTCGGATGCGGCCGAGCGTGCTGCAGCCTCTTTCAAATGGCTGCTTATTTTACTATTTTTTGGATTTTAGCATAGAAGCAACTGGCCCGGGGGAAGAGGACAAACACCTGGACTGCCTTGTCCTCCTCGCTCCGGCCGCAGGTTCCCCCTACGCTTCGGCCTCACGGCAGAGGACAGCAAAGAAAGCTCCGGAGACCTCATCCAGCCTCCCATCAGCGTAGTTTTCCTTCGTCAGGCAATTAAACCCGGAGGTGGGCATCTGGATGTAAGATTTGTGCATCCCTTAGGGCAGAGAAAGCCGCAGCTCAGGTTACCACCTCCCTGCTGCCCTACAGCAACCTTCCAGGGTCCTCCGGCCAAGGGAAGGGAGTGGGCAGGAGGAAAAAAAATACAGCTGCTTGTTCTGATCGATGGAGGAGAGCAAGAGGGGAAGCAACTGTAGCTTTCCGTCGGCTCCAGATGATGCCGCATAGTTTCCCTTTTAAAAGCATGAGCTGGGCTGGAGAAATAAATATTTGCCTTACAATTCCTGTTGGAAACGAAAGGCTGTGTTTGGAGAGAGGGTGTTAAACGGAAGTCACCGGGGCCAAGGCAGTTTGTTGCTGTGACTATTTTATTTGCTGGGTGCGATCCCGCTCCCAGCTGTTCCTTGCCCTGTTCCCGACTGGAACAGGCTGCAGCTTCGGCAGTAAGCGAGGAGGGGTGGGGGCTCGATTTTAGCCTGGGGCAGGAGAGCTGAGCATTTTTTTTCTCCTGGCGCCCGCCGCGCCGGCCACCCCGCGAGCCGGCATCCAGCTCCCTCTGCCCTTTCTTCCATTTTCTCCGAGTTAGGTGCAAAGGCTCTGGCTGCGGGCACGTTGCCAACGCAGTCCTCCTCAGCTGAACAAAATGTCCCCCTGTCCCGGGGCCCAGCTGGTCGCTGGGGCCGCTGCTGTGCGGGGTCTTCATCCCCAGGATCCCCCCGCTCCTTTCCCGGCGGCGTGATCGGGGTTCTCCATCCGGGATCTGACACCTGTGCCCGGCCGGGGAACGCAATTTA